CCTTTCACATTTTTTATCACTTTAAACCTAAATTTATACTGGTGGCTTAATTAGAGAGACATATTGTTTAATAATGTTTCTAGATTTCTTTAGAATTTCAATAATATTTTCATATATCTTAAATTTCAAGCAATTTTATTCTTTATATCTAATAATACAATTAGTGCAAAATTGATGAACGAAAAATGTTAAAATGAGTCGGAATGTAAAACTGCAGAAATGAACATTTTCAAGGCCCAGGCTGCAAATATGCATTTTCTATCAAGCTGTGTGTGTGAAAAATGAGCGCTGGACACGTAATAGTTGATCTTAGGCTAATTTAAATTCACACCATAACCCCATTATTAGTAGATAAATTATAAAAACATGAGCTAAAACCTTTAATAACGCAGGTGTTTGTCGTTACACAGATTGAGTTTCCAAACCAAACTAAAATACAAAACTTGAGTTTCAAACCCAAACTGAAGTAGATAATTTAAGTTTCAAAACCAATTCGAAGTACAAAACTTGAATTGAATTTCAATCCAAAATTGAGCACACAACTTTAGTTTCTAAACCAAACTGGAGTACAAAACTCGAGTTTCAAAACCAAACCGGAGTATATACAAAACTTGAGTTTTCGATCGAAATTGGAGTTAAAAAATTATAAATCAAACCTGTGTACAAAATTTTATTTTCCTAAACCAAACCAAAACTCGAGTTTCATAATCAAAACGGTGAACAAGTTTGGGATTGGGTTTTTAGTTTCAAAACAAAGCCGGAAAACAAATTTCCCAACCCAAGTCTAACTTGATTTTGCAGTTTCCAAACCAAGTCTTTGCAAATTGTAGTATTGGTTTTCAATGTACATAATTCCTATCTTTTCACTAATCATCCTCCAGTCTAAAAAAATCAAAATCTCAACCTAAAGACCTGAAATTATGAGAACTACCAAGGAAACTATTGAACAACAAAATTGCAAAACCAAGAAAGCAGGAGAGCAGAAATATTATTAGGGTGCTCAAAACGAAAATCAAATCAAACACATTAAATGCAAACCATTAGAAAAAAACCCAAGCTTAGGCACAGGAACTTCGCACATTCCATGAGAAAAATGCGCGACGGCTAAAAAACCACTATTTATAAGAATGAAACCACTATTTCTAAGAATAAAACCACTATTTCTAAGAATAAAAACCACTATTTCTAAGAATAAAAACCACTATTTATAAGAATAAAACCACTATTTCTAAGAATAAAACCACTATTTCTAAGAATAAAAACCACATTTCTATGAATGAAACCACTATTTCTAAGAATGAAGCCACTATTTGTAACCTTCTTTTCTACACTGAGAAGTTGAACTCAACTCTAAGTAATAAAACCAATATTTCTAAGAATAAAACCACTTTTTCTAAAAATAAAACTACTATTTTTATAAATAAAACCACTATTTCTAAGAATAAAACCACTATTTCTAAGAATGAAACCACTATTTTTAAAACTGAAACTACAAATGATGTAAGCACTATCTTCATGATTTTTTATAAGTATATTTCACTTTACATTTGTAAATTGGTATTGTCTATATAACCTTGAAATCCCTGTGATCACTGCATAAATTAAACTCCTACAGCGTCGACTAACCAAACCCATAAGCTCTCACAGCTCATACAGCAGTATCCGTACACTAGTATATTCATACCAATCCTTTATACATTCAAAATATATTCTTTTCTATTCCTAGATTTATTAATATTTTAAAATCCTTATTTTTAACTTTTTTTTTAGTTTTCGTGTGTTATAGTCTTGTTTAAACATAATTTATTAGTGATTAAAAGAGTTTAATGGTGGGGTATTCGAAGGGAGAGGGGGGAAGGGATTCCGGTAAAGGAGGGAAAATCCTTTTTGGCCACGTTTCCCCCATTACAATAACATTTAGTTTAACCATATTTATTGTGAATAAACCAGATTTAGAACGGATTTTCTCTCCGAACCACTCCGGGTTCTGTTTACACAACAAATATCTCCAGGTAGGGGTTATACCACTGGGAGAACCTAAATCCTCAATCTTGTGAACAGGATTGAATATTTAAATACCATTTTCAAACTTTTCCGTGCATCTTCTACCAAACTTAAATTATATTTGTTGTTTTTTTAAATTTAATTCCAGAGTTTGGTTTTGATAAGAACTTTAAGCGAAGAGACAACCATCGAAATATGATTGATGGAAAATATGAAATATGAAATATGATTGATGGAAAATATGAAATATGAAATATGATTGATGGAAAATATGAAATATGAAATATGATTGATGAAAAATATGAAACAAAGGTTTCTTAAATAATATCTATTAAGTTTAAAAAATTGTGATATCAAATGTTTAACAGAAAAAAAAACACTCTGCCCTTGAGTGATTAAGTACAGCGTTACTCACAATAAAAGAGATTTCAAAGACGACTGTATGGAATTCATTCTTTTGTATACATTTATTGGTCCCTGATATTGTTTCTTTATTAGTTATATCAACTCAACAGCTGTAGATTGACATATTTAAAGAGTTGTAGGTCGTCCTTTACATCTCATCCTTTGTAGGTAACCCTGTATCTACAACTTGATATATTTGCTCGGCATTCACTAACTTCTTCCCTTGACACTAAGTTTAACCCCTGTGTATACAGAGCACTCATTTTCTCATTAAAATAATCTACTTTCAAACCACAGATTCAATTAATCTAAAGTCACCGTAATACGCTCAATGTAAAGAGAACTAATAAAAAATTCTTCCAACAAAACCAAACCTAACTTTATATACTGTTAAACTAAACTAAACCAAACTAAACTTTAAACTGTATAACAAAACCAAACCAATCCTAACTTTAATATATTAAACCAAACCTAACCTAACTTTATCCAAACCAAACCAAACCTAACTTTATACTGTTCATTCAAGCTAAACCTAACCAAAAATAACTTTGTACTGTTCAACCAAACCAAACCAAACCTAACTTTAAACTATTCAACCAACTAAACCCTACCTAACTTTATTTTATTCAACCAAACCAAACCTAATTCTATGCTGTTCGAACAAATAAACCTACATTCAAACTTTTCAAACAAACCAAACATAAGTTTAATCTTGCAAAAAATGTCAGGTTTTTGCGAGTATTATGTGTTTATTATGGCGTTAAAGCTTGGAGATAATCTAATATGATATGGGACGCTCTGTAGATCAAAAACCGGTTTTTCAAAATTAGAGAGACCCCTCCGTTTCTAGATATTAGTCTTAAATGGCGCGCAAAATTTCAAATTTCCTGGCTTTTGATATGCGACTCTGCTTCGTTGAATTTTATACACTTTTCAGGATACAAGTACAAGATTAGGTTAGTCTCGAGATTAAGAAAAAGAGAGGATCAAACATTGATCTCGATAACCACCATTCTAAATTTCCCAGCTCTGTTCAACCAAACCAACCCAACTTCAAACCCTGTTAACCGGTTCTAACCTTACTACTGTGAAACCAACCCTTAATACTGTCAGAATAACTTAATCTTCTGATGATATAATTCAATCTTACTTTAATCCCATTAAACAAGCACAACCAAATCTAAATCCCACCAACCAAGCCAAACCAAACTTGAATACTGCATCAACCAAACTAAACCAAACTTAAATCCAATCAACCAATCTGAACCAAATTTGAATCCAATTAACCAATCTAAACCAAACTTGAATACTGCATCAATCATTTCAAACCAAACTTAAATACCATCAACTATAGCTAACCCAAACTTGAATCCAATCAACCAAACTAAACCAAACGTGAATCCATTCAACCATTCTAAACCAAACTTGAATAGCATAAACCATGCTCAACCAAACTTGAATCCGTTTTACCAACTTAACTCATAATAAATAAGCCAAACCAAACTTGAATCCCAATAGATAAGCCAAACCAAACTCCAAACTAAACAAAATATAAAAAATCAAACTTTAAATCAAGATTAAGTTTGATCAGTATGTACCAACCAAACCAAACTTAAATCCTGTGTCACAAACTTCAATCTTTTCAGCCAAAACTTTCCGCGCAGGAAACCAGAATTTAATCTTGAAAATCCAAACATTCCTTAATTCACTTAAACAAGGTTTTACTAAATAACAACTCATACAATCTTTAACTGTCTTTGATTTTATGAATTAGACTGAAAAATTGAGAAAATACAAGGTGTTCCAGATGATATTGCATGTGGCTCTTGCATAGCTCATAAATTGAGATTTTCAGGAAAGAACTAAAAATCTAAAAAGAATGGTTTTAAAAAATGGACTATCAACCTGATTTTAAGCGCTATATGACCGATCCACAACGGTACACTTTCAGATTAACATTGAGGACGATATCGTCGTTTTTCTGTTTTTCAACTTCACTTCGTTGTCTCTGCTGCATAAATCTGCAAGGCACGTTACAGAAAACGAAAAGTAAAAATTGTCAATTTTATTTTAAAAAACAAGGATAACTCCATCACATGAACTACGTCTACAGTCCCTTTAGATAAAGCAATAAAAAAGTTCGACATAATTTAGTTTTGAGCTGCAATATAGAAAGTTTCTTCTCATGTTTAACTTCTTAAAAATCTTCGAACGTTCTTTTCCAAATCTTTCATATCATTGTAAAGTTATAAATCCCTGTTATATCGTGCTCTACTAGGAGGTTAGAACTGTTTTCTAAATCTCCGTGACTAACTGAACCCGGTCTATAGTATTTGTGGCCACTAGGAGCAACCAAATCCAAACAAACCCTGCAAAATTTTACAACCGCACTTAAATTTTATATCAAAATAAACTTTAAATTTACTGAGTGAACTCCACTAAATCTTGTCCATCAAAATACTGACTTGAAGCGAGTTTTAAAAAATCAAGGTACTTGGGAAAATATACAGAGGGTTTGTGGTTTCTATTTAAGTGCGAGAAGTAGCCATAAATCATTGACTAGCGCAATATTTTAATAAATAAAAATCAAGTTGAAGTTTGAAATATATATTTATTGTCCTCGACTATGGGTCTAACATCAAATGAATAAACAAATAAATAAGATCTAGTTGCTAAACAGTTCTTTATATTTGACATAGAGAGAGGCTATCACATTTATTCTCAGTTCATGCAGAACCTTCTGCTCCTGGTACACTTTAATACTGAACATGGTTTTACAAAACCATTCATTGTTATTTTCACTTCGGGTTCTCAGAGAACCTGCTAGTTTAAAAACTGGGTTTCAGGTTTATTCTGACACAGTTGTCGGAGTCTGTTTTTCTGTCACGAAATTACAAAATGCGGACAGTCAGCTTGATGTAACCTCCTTGGAAACATCCTTCTTCTTCTTCTCCAACCCGAAGTGTTTGAGGTCTCCCATCAACTTGTTCTCGTTGTTCTTCTTCAAACAGTTCAAGATGTTGTTGTCTCCTTTCTGCGTCTTCTGCTGAACCGTGTTGAGGTCTGCTGCCAGCTTCTTCAAGGAGTTCACCTGAGCCGTAGTCACAGTTTTAAAGGGATTGTTCATTACAGCTGGAGGAGTGTATACCTTCTTCAAACCATCCATACTTGGAGCCTTAGTTGGAGCCAAGGTTTTGAACGGATTAGACTCCGTAAGACTCTGTATGCTGTTGGAGAAAGTGACGGATTTAGGTGTGGTTGGAGGAGAGCCGTTCAGCTCCGGACTCTTAGTATTACTGCTGGTCTGAGTTTTCAGTAGAGAAGATACTGAGACTGGACGTGGAGTCTGAGTTGTAGTTTTCGGAAGAGCATGAACCTTCTTCACACTGTGGAAAGGAAGGATTGCCGGCATGCAATGGGTTCCGGAAGATTTTCCGTTAGAGGACGTTCCGTTGGCCTCCGATGTCCCAACAGAAGCCGGAAGGTGAACAGCAGGACTAGGACTATTCCGTGGACTTCCGTCCTTAGGAGAATCTGGGTTAACCTTAACCTGAAGTCGACTAGTTCCAAACCCACTGACAGGTGGGATATGTTGCTGACGACTTGGAGTAGGGATCTTCAAACCATACCGTCCATCATCTGTAGACATGGTAGGTTTAGTAAAAGCGAGAGTTGTTAAAGGAGACTGGGAGATCTGAGAGGCAGCTTGAGCTGCACGTACAAGACTAGCTGCTTGGGCAGCTTGTACGTAGGTAGCAGCTTCCATCTGCGCAGCTGCCAGCTGGTTACTGAAATTCAAGTACTGCGCTTGCTGCAGAGCCATTGTCATAGAATCCCGGAGCGAGGAATGAACGAAAGGATTCATAAGAGAAGGTTGAGAGACGGGACCAACGGACGAAAATGGATTTGTGATTGGTTTTGCAGTAGAAAACATAGGACTTGATAAGGTTGCTTTAAATGCTGAGGTTTTAGGGGAGGATGACGGGGTCGGAGTAGAGGATGGGGAGGAGCAGGTTAAAGGAGAACTCTTCCCACTGGGTTTATTATCCACAGTTTTTACTGTGACAGTGGTTCCAGCTGGGATATTTTTAGTCAGTGTTTCAGCACTTTTAGCCGCGTCTGATAAACTGTTTGTCTTGAAGTTGTTTTTGTAGAAGTTCAACATTTGCTGACCTTTCAGTCCACTCGTTTCAACAGCAGTTGGACTGTGTTTTCCGTCCTTGAGGATAGGTTTGATAGAGGTTGATACTGGCAGTTTAGGAGTCTGAGGTTTAACTCCATTTAACTTTTCTATACTGCTGCTCAGGGAGGAGATGGAGGGAGCAACGATAGTTCCCAGGGTATTAGTTTTTTCGCTCTCCTTAGGTTTACTACTGGAATCGGAACCAGTAGGATTCGAGGGTTTGGACAATGCAGGGGATGATTCTCTCTTTTTCTCCTGAGACTCAAGGATTGAAGACTGTAATTTCTGTTGTTTTTGAGCCAGGCTCTGAACAATGGCCGACAATGCATTAGTCTCACTGTTGGACGTCACTTTAGGTTGCAACCCCTGGATGGTTGGGGGAACTTTAGGAGCGTTCAGAGCATCACTTGAACGCGCGAAATCCATCATGGATGCGCGTTCGGTTTGCTGACGCGCGAGGTTGGCCGCAGAGGATCCGGCCTTTTTAATCTGATCAACGATACTATAATTAGAGTATAGTTTCTCTTCTCCGCTTGTGATAAGTTTTGCGTCCTTCTCAGCTCTCTTCTTTTCCAGAACCTTCTTTACATCGCTGGCAGACACTTCCACTGAGATCTCCACAACCTCCTTCTCTCCCTTCTTTTTCTCTGCCATCACAAGTTTATGTGGAGAAGTTTCCTGGTTAGTTGAAACTTTGGGTGTCACCGTTTTATCAGACTTTTTATATGTTATCTCAGTTTTGGGACCAGGCGTTGGGAGAATCTTTTCTCGCCTGGGTTCGGGAGCTGAATTTAAATTAGTTGATTCTTTTGGCACTTTCGTGGGTTTAGAGTTGATATTTTTAGACTGAGGTCGGATCGTAGGTTGTGTTTGTGGGGGAGGAGGAGAAGGTTTATTTGATTGCAAGGGTTTAGGTTCAATTAAACTCTTCTTTGAAGTTTGAGGGGGAAGAGAGTTGATTTGATTACTCCCTTGTCCACCCCGAGCACTGGACACGGTGACAGAAGAAGATTCTTTTACTGATGAAATTGTTTTTGTCACAGGACGGGACTGGAGTTGATTAACTCCAGGAGAGGGTTTAGACTCCTGAGGTTTCTTCTCCGGGTTGACAAGAGAATAAGAAGTGGTGGGAACTTTCCTTTCGGATTTAGATAAGACTGAGGAATCTGTCTTCAACTTTTTATCCGTATCACGGGACAAGGTTATCTTCAGCTTTGTCGACTTTTCCGTTCCAGACTTCTCAATCTTGGAGGAGATTTTAGGGATAGACTCCTCGTCAACTTCCATTCCGTTTTCCTTAGTCCCAGTCCAGGACGAATCCATGTTTCTCCGCTGCTTTTTAGCTGGTTGACTCTTGCTCCCGGCCTTAGTCCTCTTCTTCTTCCTCTTCCTGGTGAGCACCTTGGTCTTCTGGTAGATCCTGTAGTAGAACTGCATCGGTGAGGTCTGAAACAAGAATAGAGTTGAGAAGATGGAGGAGAGGAAGTNTTACATGAGAATTGGTGTGAAAATGTAAATCTAACAAATGAGCCACTATTTATATGCAAACTTACTCCGAACTGACGGAAGGTTTTAACATTTATTCTACATATAGGCAGGGAATATAACTAACAGGGGGGAGGAGAGGTATAAGGGACAGGGAGGAGGGATATAACGGACAGGGAGGAGGGATATAAGGAACAGGGAGGCGAGATATAAATGACAGGGAGGAGGGTATAAGGAACAGGGAGGAGGGATACAAAGGACAGGGAGGAGAGATATAAAGGACAGGGAGGAGGGATATAAAGGACAGGGAGGAGAGATATAAAGACAGGGAGGAGGGTATAAAGGACAGAAGGAGGGATATAAAGGACAGGGAGGAGGGATATAAAGGACAAGGATGAGGGATATAAAGAACAGAGAAAGAGGGACATAGATGAGAGTAGGGTTGGGATGTGAATGACAGGCCAGGGGAGGAGTTGGGGTGGGGGGGGGGGATAAAGAGATTTATTTAAACTACCTTTCTCCAGTTGTAGGAATATGCAATATCTATCAGGGTCTGATCCTGGGATAATAAATCCTCTTTATAGATTACATCCACTAGGAAACTCTGATCCAACCCGTACTTGGTGATAATAAACTTTTTCAGGTGGTTTACGGTAACAGATCCGGGACATTGGAGAAACCGTCGGTTCTGATTCTCTGCGTCCATGTTCTCCGTTCTTAGTTTATTCATCTCGTCAGGTTTACTGAAATAAATAATAAAGATTAGTTTCGCTCTCGGTACTAAACCACAAGTAAATATAATTGAACCTTCGCTTTAACCGAGAATATTAATAAACATTTTTAAACACACAAACACACTTACTCCGGGTAGATATTAGTATACAGAGAGAGAAACGACATGAAGAAGAATTGAAAAATCATCCTGGCCCTTCATTACAACTCTGCTGGAGTCCCAGACTCAACACTTTTATTCCAGATGATAATAAACATTTAACCGCGAGACAGGCAGACAACCAGTCCGGCGGATAGGTTGGTAGATAGATAGATAGGATCAAGGTTTCTATTCAATTATCCTATTCAGCAGTGTAGGATAGAGAATCGTAATCTTCATGCAGACGATACAGCGATCTTGCAACCTTTAGTCCCGCGAGGATAGATTTAAGAATTAGCATGGGATCTACAACCTTCAACGGTTTTGATTTTGTAAACAGCTCCCAACTTAAGATTCAAATATATATCTTTCTTTCCTCTCTGCAGGCCGATTAGATTAATGTATCAAGCCGGGTTAGAATCGATAAAGCGTTATATTTTGACTCCGGTTATCCGTCTGAATGTCAATTAGTAAAAGGTTTGTGGGCCGACACTAGGGTTCTGTGGTTCCTTCACTCAGCCCTTATCCGGGTAGGATCTAGAGCAGGGGAGAACCCAAACAATCCCTAACCCTACCATCATGCGATACAATGAAACCTCATTAGAAGAAGGAACGCATAATGCCAAGCTTAATCATGCTACAGTGCTAATTAGTACGACGGTGTGGGGGGGGGGGTAATGAGAAGTAAGTAACGGACAGATGAGGACGTATAAATCCTGTTCTACTCTAGGTATAAATATTATAATGAGAAGGAAAACAAACATCGGAAGTTGCAAGGCAAACAATACAATATAATTATAAACACTAACACAAGAAACATCACAAATCATTATAGAATAGTGATGGTAAAGGGAGGTGGACATAAGACTAGAATTTAGAAGAATGAAGTGAGGAAGAAAAAATGAAACTATATTAACTATACCTGTAACTATCAAAGTATTCAATAGACATTGAAATATCATCCTCTGGAGAGAAGAACAATCTGTCCGTAATTTCTCCTGCATCCTCGAGACTGGCAGGTTCAGCCTCAGGATGGTTATTGTAGAAGTTGACTCGGTTCTTCATCTCTGTCCTATAGAGACCAGGAACCACCTTGTAGACTATATCCTGGAGTGCTTTATCAGCTCTGAAAAAAATTCATCAATTAGAAACTTTAAAGATGGAAGACTGAAAAGAATTTAATATTAAATATCTTTGTTTTCTTAATTTTTTTTGTTATTCTTTCCAATCTCTCTTTCTGTATGTGCTCTGTAGCAACCAAGTTTAATAGCTCACAGTTCGTTACCCTGACTCCATATACTCAGTTTATGTCCCATTATACGCCTATATATATATATAGAGCAGAAGAAAAAATAACAACAGCGCCCCAAAACCAAAATAAATGCTTTAAATACCAACATTTAGCTCCCTAAACTTAAACCTTGATAATTAATGAATTGAGGAGGGCGGTATATTGAACAAACACTTACACCTGAACACTACTCAGACATGGAGTAAACATAGGAAGAGTTACACCCCCCCCCCCATCTAGAGGATAGTGGGCGGTATATTTATTTACCTAAGACTGAGAAGAGGTTTGGTTTTATGAATCTGTACACCGCAGGACGGACAGGCTTTACTCCCATCCACATGTTTCACGATACAGGACTTGCAAACTACAATATTAGATTGAATTAGTCAAGAGTTAACAGAGTTAGGACAAGGTATTTCGGTAGGTAGAACGATAGGGGTGGGAACCAGGAATTAACTAGAAAAATGNTGTTAAGATTTAGGGTTCAGAAAAACATTTAAACCACGGTGTCTAGGTTAAAATACTAGAAACGTTAGGATAAATTGCAATATTTTTAGGATATTTGACACCAGGCATTCATGCTTAGAAACGGTCTCAAGAGTGCGCGCTTTTTAGGTTCCATGTTTAAATGGGGGGAGAGGGGGGACTGAGTGATTTATTATTCCAACAAAGCTGAACGAATCATTTTAAAAATTCCGTTTAACGCGTTAATTTTTGCGATAATTTAAAATTTGAAGAATTTTGAAGAAACTTACATGAGTGGAGGCATTCAACCACTGTGACGGGATCTATAAGATAACCCTTGCACACTGCGCACATAATGTAGGGGTTGAGGGCGACCAGATCCAGCTTTTTCCTCTCCTTCTCCTTCTCCAGCCTCTGCTTTATTTCACCCTGGATCACTTTTGCGGATTTCTGAACCGGAGCAGTGACCTCCATTCCGTTCTGATCCTCCAAGGGTGGAGGTCCTGGAGAACTAGGTTCATCATCCATAGGCTCCATTCCAATCTAGCAAATAACAAATCTATAATATATATACATTTATATGTTGAGAATAAGTTTGGTTCTGATATGATGGAATGATGTTTTTACAATGTATCCTCACCCAGTATGGTTGTGGCAGGTCGGATTGGGGAGGGGGAGAAGAGAAGGCGGGGAAGGAGAGGGGGGAGAACAGAAGGTGGGGAAGGAGAGGGGGAGGGGGAGAAAAGAAGGCGGGGAAGGAGAGGGGGAGAAGAGAAGGTGGGGAAGGAGAGGGAGGGGTGGAAAAGAGAAGGTGGGGAACACATGGTGTTCAGAACACACATAAACTAAGGGTAATATTTAAGAGTCATCTGGAGGGAGGAGGGGGGGGATTTGCTAGGATTCCCCCTTATGTACTAGTGATGAAGTTTCATTTACACTGTCAAAATTTGAAATATCCCCCTCCACCGGGTTAAGAATGATTGCACTGTTACAAGGCCCTCTTCACATTATACTTAAAATAAATGCATTTGCACAAAACCCTGATGAGCTTAGAATAGATCTGGCGTGGGCCTAACCCTGAGCAAGGACGGAAATGAATGGGGGAGATCGCGAACCAGTTTTTCATGTCGGATATTTTGGGTTGAGAACCCTGGTCTTGACACGACATGAATCCTGAGATACACCAGCCTAACTTACGACCCGGAGAGAAGAAAAAGTCCCGACTCTAACCAATAAAATTCAAAGTTAATTTATATTCAAGACAGAGCACGGAGAGAGACATAATGATCTTCTTCGGATCGGTTTGAAAACTAAATGGATTTTTATAATTGGTTCAAATGATCCCGAATAGATGCTGAGTTTCTAATCCTGGATTAGTTGGGTGGTCTCGTCCTACTCCTGGACTAACCCTGAGTCTAATATCCGGCTCCTGTAACGGAACCCAACCTGGATAAACCGTTTAATTGAATTGTGACAATAATTGAACCTAGAGTCATGTTTTCTTTCACAGATAGAACTTGTCATGGATAAATCTTCATCCCAGTCCATATAAAACTTGATCAGACATCTTCCAACATTTTTATTCCAATATATTCTCATCTTTTATCCCTACTTCATTTCATTAACTTATCTTCTCTTTTAACAATTTTTCTTCCACCCCCTCACAAAAAAACTTCCTTCAAATTTGACAAATTTCAATATCAAATAATTCAATGTCAAGATTGATCTTTAAATAAATGTCGGAGTATTGATTTTAATTCCGGTTTAAATACACCACCTGAAGATCAAACAACATTACTTCCGGATTCAATATTATAAACTCCTAGGAATTCCTAGTTCAGGGTTTAGGATAGGAATTCCTAGTTAGAGCTTTAAAATAGGAATTCCTAGCCCAGGGTTTAGGATAGGAATTCTTAGTTCAGGGTTGAAGATAAGAAACTTCTATCTGGCCTATTCGGAATAATGCTCTAGATTCTCGTTAAATAGTTCTTTCTAAAGGTTCAATTTCAAGAATGTCTCAACTTCTACTCCGGGTTGAGTAAAGAACTTCAACTCCGGGTTGAGTAAAGAACTTCTACTCCAGGTTCAGTCAAGAACTTCTACTCCGGGTTGAGTAAAGAACTTCTGCTCTGGGCTGAGTAAAGAACTTCTACTCCGGGTTCAGTAAAGAAGTTCTACTGTGAGCATAAAGAAGTTCTACTCCGGGTTCAGTAAAGAACTTCTACTTTGAGCATAAAGAAGTTCTACTCCGGGTTGAGTAAAGAACTTCTACTTTGAGCATAAAGAAGTTCTACTCCGGGTTCAGTAAAAAAAGTTCTACTTTGAGCATAAAGAAGTTCTACTCCGGGTTGAGTAAAGAACTTCTACTTTGAGCATAAAGAAGTTCTACTCCGGGTTGAGTAAAGAACTTCTACTGTGAGCATAAAGAAGTTAAGGACCGTGAGGGGAAATCTAACACTTAGCATTCAGCTGAAAGACCTCTTGAATTCAATTATAATTCGAGAACTTTTAAACAAAGTTTGAGTTCAAAGTTTTGCAATTTCAAAATAACAGCAGACTGAAATTACTCCGGTAGAGGAATGAAAAGAATTTTATTATCTTCAGTATATCCAGGTTGAACCCAGCACAGTAATTTAGAAAATTGTCCAGAATTGAGAATAGAGTAATAATATCGGTCCAGCCGACACTATAAAAACATAATTGACGCATTAAAAGCATTTTCTACAAAAATGTATCAATAAAAACAGTTCAAGATCTTTCATAGATTTAGCTTTTTATCGATTTATATCTATGCTCCGGGTCCCACAGATAACTGTGAGAAAAGGGTCCAATATTCCAGAGAAGAAATAAATAAAACGTCATATTTAAAAGTAATCCTACAGAGCCTGACTGTTACAGTTTTAGTAACAAATCTGACACTCAATCAAATTGCAAACTTGCATGCAGCTCCTGCATTTTGTAGGGTAGGCATTATAGTTAGTTTAGACTCCAGAGTGTTAATACTGATCAAAATAAGTCATTTATGATGTATATCTGGGCGGACCTGAGCCTGGATCAATGTGTATAAACCTTGAACCTAGAGCAGACCTGAACCTGGGTCCCTGTGTATACTTGAACCTAGATCAGACCTGAACCTGGATCCCTGTGTATACTTGAACCTAGATCAGACCTGTACCTGGATCCCTGTGTATACTTGAACCTAGAGTAGACCTGAACCTGGATCCCTGTGTATACTTGAACCTAGAGTAGACCTGAACCTGGATCATCGCCAAGTTCCGTTCTCCTGGAGCTACTCAGGCATTTAATTATTTCAAAATATTCTCAATCAATATATCAATCAATCAATCTGTTTTCATCCTCAAGCAAACTACATTAACTGAGAAAACTGAAGAGCTCCAACCCCGGCGGACCAACAAATATCGTTCTTATCAAAGATTAAACACTTCCCAACACATCCATGCCTGCAAATTCCCCAAATACAACATCCTCACCCAGATCCCCCTCACTTCCAGCCCCCCCCCCCTTCAGATCCCAATCCATACACGCATACTTCCCCCATGTCATTACAAATGATCTATATTCCTTCAGTAAAGAATTCTAGAACCGAACTATCTATCGATCTAAGGGTTCAGAGGTTATCATTAGTTTGTATAGAACCTAACTCCAGACTTGAATACAACACGGGGGTAAATCATGATGAATTCCAACCTTCCTCCACCCTCACCCTCCTCCTTGTTCTGATTGAATGTTAGATCTGAGATCTAACTAATCTTAAATCTTGAAATCTTGGTATCTCTCTCTCCTCTCTCTCCAATATGGCGGGGTAATTGCCCAATTAAGAAAAGGAGAGAAAATAAAAAACTACCGATACAGTATTAAAAGAAGAATAAAATAGCTTAAAGATCTGATCGATAAGGAAATGAACCTCTATATATATATACATTGCTGAAGAATGTCCAACATGAAACACAGTGACCAGCAATAACCAATCATAATAATCAATAGAACGTGCTCTAGACTTATTTTAAGAAGATATATATAAATATATGTATATATATATACCCAGTATAGTGTATAGGGAGGATTAATTAAGAGGCAGTCTCAAGAATGAAGGATTGTTCTAAGGAATTAGGCGTGCTGAGCAAATATGGCATAATTTGATATTGCAACGATAGGTAATTAGATAGATAGATAGAAATTTATATAGAGATAGATAGATATATACAGATAGATAGATATACAGATAGATATATACAGATAGATATATACTGATAAGATAGATATTTACAGATAGATAGATATATACAGATAGATAGATACAGATAGATAGATATATACAGATAGATAGATACAGATAGATAGATATATACAGATAGATAGATATATACAGATAGATAGATACAGATAGATAGATATATACAGATAGAGTTTACCATCACCAATCCTCAAACTTTCAATTACAATATATTCTCGAGAAAGAAAAACTAAAAAATAAATAACTATGAGTTTGTGTATAAGAACATCAAAATCTAAAAAAGGAAATATTTGGTGTTAAAAAATTACCATTTTTGTTTGTGATGTGTTGTAACTGTTAATACAGTTGAGCTAAAGCCGCCATACTCTGCTAGAGCAAAGTTTGTCCTGGCTCCAGCTGGTTTGGCTGGCAGGCTGATGCGGAGGATCCGAGTTCTCGTCCCGGCTTCAGCTGCCAAGCTAAAACTTGGATCCGATTTCTCGTTTGCCGCCACTAAGAACCGACTCGCGCCCGGTCCGTTCCAAACTCCCAGGAGTACTACACACTGTGTAAACTCTTATACACTGCACTGTAGTGATATATTTTGATATATTTGAATATATTGCACTGCTATATCTTTATATATTCTTATATATCACTTAAATGTAAGATTTTAGCTTGATATATGATATTGTTGATGAACAGTTATGAGAGGCACTACTAACTGCAACTAACGCAGTTACTGCTGGAGATACATAACTCTCTCTCTCAATCCACTAGTTTACACACCACCACCATGCACTTAGATCAATCACAAGATATTCATGTATTTAGCAACACTAGGAACCCGAAGCCTACTCTAGGTTCTAGCTAGATATTAATAACTTATAATTAACTCGATATTTCGAACTGTCACTCTTTGTTTTTACTTCAGAGGTTAACTTTTCTTCTACCAAAAAGTGTACGTTCTTCTCTGTGGAAGAATCCCAGTCAACTGGCATCCGCACCGCTTCCTCGGGCCGCGGAGCGCGAGGTTGTACATCACGCATGCGTGATAGAAACGCGGGGCTGGCGGACCGCGCGTCTGACCCAGCTAGGACGAGGGGGAGGGGGAGAAAGGGGGGAGGTTAGGGCGGCAACTTAATAAAATCTTGTTCCCCTAGCTCCTAAACAAGTCGGAAGAATAAAAATGTAAAATCTACGAAATATGTTGAAGGACGGGAAATTTACAAATCAAGAAAATTCCGCAACATAAGAGAGTTTTATTCTCATACAAACTTGAAAAAGCGTAGAAAATTATAAGATATATTTAAATAATTAATACAAAAATTTAACCGCGATCATCAATCCATTCGATCGGTTATATTAGTTATATTGTAAAGATTAGGTTCGATCCACGACACTGGGAACTAAACAGAAGACGACGGTTATTTATGTGACATAACTGGCCAACGACTTTGTGACATCGTAACTCCCTCAGTTATGATTTTTGTACGTGATGCTTGAAAACATAAAAATCTGACGTTTTACTTCAGACTTACTTGGCGAAAGAATGAAAAACTGCCAAATATATACTTTTAAGTGTATAAAATTTGGTTAAAAGACTTTAATATATATATAATGTATTTTTGAATTGTAAGAATGATTGAATGAAAATATTTATAAGTTTTATATATAATTATTAGTACAGAAATAAAAAACAACACAAATTTATTACAATCGATCGTACGAAAGTGCATGAACTATGATTACAGCTTACGGTGGAAAAAGCAGTCACGTCAGAGTATCCACACTTTCTAACCCATTTTTGTACATTATGTTCTTTTGAAAATATTTAATTTCAATAACTTTTATTTGGAGCTACATTTTTGAACATTAATGTATAAACTATTAAAAAGTGATTCCGCTTTTTTCATATGGTTTGAAAAAACAGAATAAAACTTAACCAAGTTTAATTATCTCATTAGCCCGGAATACTTAGGATTTTTTATTTCGTTTATCAGATTTCAAAAAAGTGCTTTATCCAAATTTACGTTTTACTTCATTCATTTTTCATGATACAGTGAAACCCTTAATAACGAATACATCGAAAGAATTCATCAAATGTCGTATTCTTCACTTTCTGATAATGGAATGTTGCAGATATTTAGTTTTTTAATTAAATGATTATATGGAACTCTTTAAAACTGTTCCCGCATATTCATGGCTATTTATTTATTTTCGCAAATACTAAAATTTACGTAATATAGTATAAAACTCATTGAAGGATTTTCAAGACGACATTTGATAAATTCTTCCGATGTATTCGATATTAAGGGTTTCACTGTATGAAAAAAATAACATTGAACTAGTTTGATCGTATGTTATATGTTTGAAAAGTCAAAATGGCATCTCTTTCGACCCCATTTTCACCCATTTCATTTTATACTTTTTCATCTTTTAAATAATTAAGTATTTTAAGACTCTATGAAAAGTTGAAAGGAATTGAGTCTTTGCCACAAACTCTAAATTTATAATCCCTATATCTTTGGAACCCAATGTCGCAAATCTTTGATATTTCAAACTTACATTATTTGATCAAACACAATTCATAGTTTGAAATATCTAAGGTCTACGACATTGGAATCCAAAGATATAGTTTAGAAAAGCAAAGTTTGTGGCAAAGACTCAATTCCTTTATCTAAAAGTTCTAAAATTCATCATGTTGTGATTGATTACTCCGTTTAAAAGGATTGATCATTAATCGCGTAAACGTTTTCAGAATTTTCGATTTCTGCAGAATACGTGATATACGTGATACTTCCATGTTATCGGTTGCCATGGGCCGAGTACATAAATCTTGGTCTGCAGAGTTGAGTTCAAAAAGAAAAGAAAAAGAAAAAAGAAATAAAGGATGAATTAACGAGAAAAATGACGACAAGAAAAATAAATTTGAATTTTTCTGTATTAACTCAGTACCCAATTTAGATAAAAAGATAGAAAATTCAAAATAGAAATTTGTTAAAAAAATAAATCTTGCTCTACGATATTTACGCCAGGAACTTGTAGAGAAATTTATCCAGGGGGGGGGGGTATCCTTATTAACCTTCAAGGGTTAGGTGCTCACTGCTCAGTCCCTGAAAGAGGGTTCTTATTTTTTTGAAAGCACGGAGGGGGGGGGGGGCTTCATTCCCCCCCCCCCCCTTAAACCACGGCGGGGTCCCTATAGTTTCAGCTATGTAGTAATCCTCTATAATTATGTATAATTAGAATTTAAAACTACAAGTTTACTTTTACAATGATTAAAATATAATATAGATGCATTCAACGAATTCAAATCATGCAACCCTGTTTTTTAGAAAATATATGCATCCCATGGATATATGCAATATTTCAATTTGCACGCTTTTACTCATTTAGTATATTTGCAATGTGCAAATTATTAAGCATAGTGAGCACACTTCTATTATTTTGCGAAAGTCTTGTCGATGACCCGCATTTTTGAAAAAACAAATGATCTCAAACTCTAATTTCCTAATCCCTAAATCATTGCAACTTGATGGTTATCACTTTTTGACATTCTAAAAGCTTTGACTTATAGATCTAGCAGAAAATACAGTTTAAATTATCAAGTTGCAGTTATTACGAAAAATTATTTAGAAAAATAGTTTTCAAGGCAAGTATTCAGATCCTCTCCCGCTTAACAGGGTTACCCACAAAGAATGAGACTTTATAAAGACTGATTTTTTATTTCTGCAATTAACGGAGATATTTTGAAGTTTTACTTAATTTTTAAGCACACAAATAAACCAATTTTTGGCCTGCAAGGAATCCTGAATGCAAGAAATAACTAAACAAATTCCGTAAATCGTCTCTGAAGTCTCATTCTTTGTGGGGAACCCTGTATAAGCTAAGCAAATTTTGCATCCAGTTGTAAGACCGGGTCAACTTTAACATGTTTGGTTGTACCTTTTACTAACTCACTTAAGCTTTTTCGTATTGATGGACAGTGGACACATCAGACACATTAGAAGTTCATTTTTCATTATTCAGTTTCTAGTATATTCAACTTAAAGAGTACATGCGTACATAATTCAGTTCATTATGCACCAACAAACAAACTCGAGAGCTGCTTGTTTCTAATCGTCGAAAACCTCTAAAATTTTCAGATCTCCGTTTTAAAAGAGATAAAATTCAGATAATAATAAAAATGGAAAAATATCAAAATCTTTCATAATTGATAGCTTTTTTTCTTAACCAATTTAATTTTTTGGCAATTGTAGAAAATGATGGTTCTTGAACCAACCTCGATATTTTATTTATTTGTATTTTCATTATTTTAAAATTCCGAAGTTCTCAGATTTAGAAGATTAAATCAATTTAAAAAAAATCAATTCTGCACAAATTCTCTAAAACTAAAATGTAAAATTCGTCTTGAAATATTTTATCATGTAGCAGATTATTTGAGGTAAAGCTGAATAAAAAAAGGGAATAATTAAGAGAAGAAACAATAATTGTTTAAAGGGACTGTTCATGTATTTTAAGTTACCCTTCATTGAAAGAGAGAAATGCAGGATTCACAACGACACCCTTTAAACCTTTGCCAAGGCAAATATTGTAAAAATATTTTCGTTTTTTCCCTAAAAATTTCAAATTTCAAATTGTGGTTTCTCTAAAAAAGTTACTTTCTGCAGCTAAAAATAAAATAACGTATTTTACAGAATTCAACATTTTGAAGGTGAAACAAAACGTTGTATTCCCGAATGTTGCTCAGAGTAAAATTTCAAGAGTACCAATTGGGAATCGGGAATCGCCACTTTATCACGTTTGTAGGTCCTTTAAACAAAGCATGCTACAAAACATACAATCTCAAATTCTTATTTTTTGAAGTACAGAGGAATGAGGATTGCTTGAGCAGGATCAAGTACTGACTGTAGATTGAGCAGGATCAAGTACTGACTGTAGATTGAGCAGGATCAAGTACTGACTGTAGATTGAGCAGGATCAAGTACTGACTGTAGATTGAGCAGGATCAAGTACTGACTGTAGATTGAGCAGGATCAAGTACTGACTGTAGATTGAGCAGGATCAAGTACTGACTGTAGATTGAGCAGGATCAAGTACTGACTGTAGATTGAGCAGGATCAAGTACTGACTGTAGATTGAGCAGGATCAAGTACTGACTGTAGATTGAGCAGGATCAAGTACTGACTGTAGATTGAGCAGGATCAAGTACTGACTGTAGATTGAGCAGGATCAAGTACTGACTGTAGATTGAGCAGGATCAAGTACTGACTGTAGATTGAGCAGGATCAAGTACTGACTGTAGATTGAGCAGGATCAAGTACTGACTGTAGATTGAGCAGGATCAAGTACTGACTGTAGATTGAGCAGGATCAAGTACTGACTGTAGATTGAGCAGGATCAAGTACTGACTGTAGATTGAGCAGGATCAAGTACTGACTGTAGATTGAGCAGGATCAAGTACTGACTGTAGATTGAGCAGGATCAAGTACTGACTGTAGATTGAGCAGGATCAAGTACTGACTGTAGATTGAGCAGGATCAAGTACTGACTGTAGATTGAGCAGGATCAAGTACTGACTGTAGATTGAGCAGGATCAAGTACTGACTGTAGATTGAGCAGGATCAAGTACTGACTGTAGATTGAGCAGGATCAAGTACTGACTGTAGATTGAGCAGGATCAAGTACTGACTGTAGATTGAGCAGGATCAAGTACTGACTGTAGATTGAGCAGGATCAAGTACTGACTGTAGATTGAGCAGGATCAAGTACTGACTGTAGATTGAGCAGGATCAAGTACTGACTGTAGATTGAGCAGGATCAAGTACTGACTGTAGATTGAGCAGGATCAAGTACTGACTGTAGATTGAGCAGGATCAAGTACTGACTGTAGATTGAGCAGGATCAAGTACTGACTGTAGATTGAGCAGGATCAAGTACTGACTGTAGATTGAGCAGGATCAAGTACTGACTGTAGATTGAGCAGGA